TGTGTCCAGTTTAACTTATTGTGTACATTATCGAAAGCTAGGGTTTTTGTGTGCGCTCGTCTATTCATTCACTTGAATCTCTATAGTACTCCCCAAGAGCTCTATATAATTTTTTAATCCGCCCATTCTGCACAGGCACCAATCAATGCATGTTTGTGACTTATTAATAATTATTCTGGATGTTCTCAGTTCTTCAGCTATGTTTATCCGTTCTGATTTGTCATCAGAGCAAAATATTATGTTTAGCACTAGTTTCAACTTCTATTTGCTTTAAAGGCATTCTTTGTTCTCTCAAAACACTTCTTGAGTGACTACATCATTATAGTCAAGATTCAAGAGATGGAGTTAATATAAGACTGCCAACAAAACACAAAGTAAGCGGGCGACCAGAACGCTCCATGGCTCACCGGTAGACGACTTCGTGGCCTGTCCGAACAGCATCAGGGTCTGACTCCTTGGATCACATCAGCACTGTAGTAGTCCTTCTCGTGGCTCTTGTTGTGCGTGGAATGCTAAGCTATTATATGTGTCGCAAAAAACCTAGTCACAATTATAACCTAAAGCTCCTCCTTCGGGGATGCTGGTTGAACGTGACATTTTCTTTCTAGCAAAGTACCGAAGAACACATTATGTGATTATCATGCTGCACACAGAAACCACAGAAGCCACGTGAACCATGGGAGGTATTAGAAACAGCCCAGGCTGCAGACGGTCGATGACCAAACGTCCGAGCAGATGGTCTGAACAGCTACGAGGTAGAGTAGTGGTCGCAGTCATCGTGATAGTGATAGTACAGCCCACTGTAATGGTGCCATTTCTTTACGTAAACTAATTGTGATTAATCTTCATCACACGCCCTGTAGGCGTTCATGCAACTCCGTAGATCTTGGTCCCTTGTTATCTGGATCAGTTTTATCGATGTCATCCCACCGTGCCACCGTGGCAATCCATCTGTCATCATCTCTCGCGGTCTGCCTCTCCCTCTTCTACCGTTGATCTTCCCAGTTGTTCCGGTATTCTACAAAGTCTCCTTCCTCATCGCACAACTAAAGAACAGTGCTTTTTTCTCCTTATAGCTCATTATATTGAGTTACTTTCAGTGCAATTGTTTAAACAGAACTCGATGGTTGTAAGAGAACTATGTTGCTGTTAGCCCTTGCAACTTGCAACGTGTCCTCAGTAAGCCTGTTTCTGTAAGCGTTCAATGGTCAAGAGAGTCTGAGAAGGCACAGTAAGGTATAATATCATTGCACTTTTTTTTAGTTTAAGTTTATTATACATACATAGCAACCAAGAGGTTTTGAAAGAGGCGGGAGACCGAAGACAACTTATCACTGACATCAGAGGGAGACAGTCATCATTTTTCGGCCATGTTATGAGAAGAGGGAAAATAGAACATGTTGTGACCACTGGAAAGATCTGTGGAAGGAGGGATAGAGGAAGACAACGAGAGAAGATGCTTGACAGTCTTGTTGCATGGCATGGAGGTGTGTCGGCACACGAACTGATACATGCTGCAGGAGATCGCGGATTATGGAGAGGCATGATCGCCCACGCCAGTCGGCAGGGCACCTGATGATGATGATGATACATACATAAAGTAGAAGTGGTATCAAAGACACAAATTATTCCTAAATGTGTAATAAAAATCAATGGTGTTATTTTAAGACAAGTACAGAAATTTAAGTATCTGCGCACATGGATAACATCAGATGGAAGATGCATAACTGAAATAAGAAACAGAATTGGACAGGCAAAAACTGCATTTTATAAAATAAAAAACATCTTGTGCAATATATCCTTGTCATTGAGAGTTAGAAAAAGAATTCTTGCTTGCTACATACATCCAGTTTTAACACATGGATGTGAATCCTGGACAATCGGTAGACAGGCCAAACAATTTTTAGAGGCCTCAGAGATGTGGTTTTACAGAAGAATGCATAGAATACCTCGGACAGCCAAAAAGAGCAGCCAAGAGGTTTTAAAAGAGGCGGGAGCCTGAAGACAACTTATCACTGACATCAGAAGGAGACAGTCATCATTTTTCGGCCATGTTATGAGAAGAGGGAAAATAGAACATGTTGTGACCACTGGAAAGATCTGTGGAAGGAGGGATAGAGAAAGACAACAAGAGAAGATGCTTGACAGTCTTGTTGCATGGCATGGAGGTGTGTCGGCACACGAACTGATACATGCTGCAGGAGATCGCGGATTATGGAGAGGCATGATCGCCCACGCCAGTCGGCAAGGCACCTGATGATGATGATGAAAGTAGAAGTGAGAAGTGGGAACGTAAAGAGCAGGGTGCTGGAGAAAATCGAAATAGCTGCCAGAAGTAAGAATGTATGTCAGGGAAGCTTAGACGACTTTATAGACACGTGCTTTGTCACCCGTCTCTGGAACCCTGACAATCATCATCATCATTGTTATCATCACCATTAACACCACAACATCCTCATCGTAATCATCATCATTATCATCCTCGGCTTCCGCATTTGCTGTAAGTGCGTTGAGAGGAACCGTTTGCGGTCCAGCGCTTGATAAGTAGAACTGGCTTTGCCATTCTGTAAAGATCAGGGGTAGGCAAACTGTGGCCTACTGAGAAATTGTTACTAATTCGCCAGGCTGGTGTAAAAGTATGATAAAATCTGGCTTCTGAGCTCTCTCTCTCTCTCTCTCTCTCTCTCTCTCTCTCTCTCTCTCTCTCTCTCTCCTCTCCCTCTCTCTCTCTCTCTCGCTCTCTCTCTCACACACACACACGCACACAAAAGCAAAGCAGAAAAACGTACGTTTGTATCTTCTACTTCTTCAGCATTCCGAGCCCTAAAGGAAATTGAGGCTCAATGCTGCAGATATATCCAGCCTCGATTCATCTATCTGGTTGGCCTTCTCTTTCTAGGTGACACCAAGTGTTTGCAGGTCTGTCTGGAAATTATCTCTCCATTTTGTTCTTGGTCTGCCTCGTTGTCTACGGCCATTCAACTCCCTAGTGTATACAGTTTTTACTTTTCTGTAATCTGCATATATGATAATCTTAACAATGATAACCTGAAGCTGATGTCGCCAAATATATAAAAGTGAGCGAATGTGTTTGGCTAGAGAGAGGCCTAATGAGGGATTATTATCTGATATTATTCCACAAAATAGCGTGTTACGAGGAAATCTGGATGATATGCTTATAGCTGATTCTTTTCGTTTTCTGTATAGCCTGCGATCAGGTTAGTAATTTCAGATTTGACGGCGCGGACGTAGAAAGGCTACCCAAACCAATTATACATGTATAATGTCTTTAATGTAAGGAATCCAGCCTCTCTTTGGCAGCCCTGTAGATCTCGCATTTGATCAGTGTTTTTTAACCTAGAGGCGCGCGCGCGCACACACACACACACAAACCAAGAGAAAAAAAAGGGGGGGGGGGCGGATGGGGAGGCAAAAATGTTTTAACGGACATTCAAGCAGTATTTAAATTGAATGCATTTGTAATTGCAACAATCTGTTATACCAACATTTTAATTCAGTTACATTGTAAATATAATTGTATGCTTTACTATGTGTAAAGGTCTATTTAGCGACCACAAATACGTGTAATTTAGGGACAACCCATAGTATAGGGCGGGGTTAGTTTTCGTAGCAGTCACTAGTCATTTAAAACTAACCCCAACCCCAGTTACCCCCCTCCCCCCTTTTATCTGGGATGTCCCTAAATCCCGCATGATGTGGTCGCTTAGCAGAAGAGAACCCATTATGTTATTTGACACAACGATCCCTGTGCAATTTTTTCTCCACGTGCTTGCTTATAATGCTTGAGATTGTTCTTTTTGTCATCGTTTTAGTCATTTGTTTTTGTGAAGTTGGACGGGTTGAGGGGAGGGGTGTGTAAGAGGAGGGGTGCGTGAGGGTCTTGCTATGTATCGGGGTGGGGGACTTCTTCTTCTTCTTCTTTCGTTCGCATGAAATAAATTGTCTATATCTGCAAAGCTGTCTCTAGTATGAATTTCACTGTCTTTTGTAATTCACTAAGCGGCCCGTAAAGTTTGACTTCCACAAGTGTCTCTTTTGGCCAAAGGTTTTGCCTGAAAGCGTTGAATTTGGGACAGTCTTGAAGGATGTGATCTGTTGTTTCAGGTGCCAGTCCACAAGTACACATGGCTGATTGGCCAATCTTAAATTTGTTGTACATGTGGGAGCGAAGTCGATTGTGCCCTGTTCTAAGGCGAAGGATAATGACTTGCTCTGGTCTGTCCATAATATGGTAGGGTGGGGGACTGAGTGTGGGGGCACCTCATCTAAAAAAAAAAAATTGAAAACCACTGCAGTAGATTCTTTGTGTTTCGTGTATCGCTTGTACCGGAAGTCGTTGTGGTAGCATCATTACCAGATAATGAAACAATATAATCTTCTGGTTCTCAATGCGTTTGTGCAAGATGTTGTTCCCACACATCTGTCCGACAGTACCATCCCACTCGGTCTCGGATGCTCCAGTTGGTTAGGTTGGAGGCCTTTCTTCATCTTCTCATCCAGCAGGTTTTAATTGTATGTCTTTGAGCTTTTGAAAACGCTCACGTTGTGAACTGGATGCGTAGTGTTGGTATGACTATGCTGTTATAACACATGTTTGAATTTACACTTAGCGACCCAAAACTACATGTTTGACATTTGAAACAGGTTTTCAGCTTTCATAGAAAGATTTATCAGAGAAATAACATTGCCATTTTATTCATCAAATCGGCATCAAACTGGAACCACCACCCCCCCCCCCACGCCCCACCCTCCTCCCCCCCCCAAATGACATTGACTTCCATGTCGAATCAATCTAAAATGGGTACCAGGTAAAGTCCTGAAAAGTCAAGACGGTCGGTGTGGTTTTGACCACATCGCCAACCGTCTGCCTATTGGTCTATAAAATATGCCTATGGCCCTGTGTACCCAATACCCCTAATGGCACAGAGAAGGGTCCTTTACATTATTTTTAAACTTGTTTATTTATTTCATATCACCAGATCTGTTTACTGGAAAGTCGCCCGATTCAGCAGGCCCCCTTCTGACGTTTCCATTTGCACGTTTTCAGCCAAAACATGTCAAGACAATAACACTAGCAAGTATCAGGCTACAGTTAACGCCACAGAAAGAGAATTTTTTAGCAGTTTCTTGACGATTCACAACATAACTTCTGAAGATCAGAATAGTGTTTTCGAGTGCCTAATTGACAATTTGCCAGAAAGAATTCAAACGTGGAACCTATCGAAGGTTTTCTACGGGCCAGATGATTTTAGTTGCACGACTGTCTACGCCAAAATATCTAGTGAAATTAACATAACATGTTCCACTTCAAAAGTGTTTCCAGGACTGATCTGTGAAATGGGGCAGCTATACAACAGGAATAATATTACGTCTGTAACCCCCTCTACACCTGTGGTTTACGAAAATTTTGAAAAATCTGAAAGACATATTTCAGCAACCTGTTTCGCTGTTATCCCAATCTTTGAGTCTGGGATATACCAGTATTACATTACAGGGTATGCAGGTGTCACCACAAATGATCGTTATTTCCAGAACAAAAAATTCTTTAAAACAAACGAAGTTGATGTGTACCCACACGTAGCGATTGAACATAAAACAGCGAACCGTTGTGCAGGATCAGATACTCCTGAGTTATTCTGGTGTACAGCCATGTTAATGCCATCGCCAGTCTCATTTATATGGTCAGTGTACAATGGAAGTAAGCCGATAGAAATACAATTGCTGGGTAAAAAGTCTGGAAACTTTCACAGATCCACATTTGAACTGCAAAAACCTGAATGGTGGGGTTTAATCACAGTAACGTGCATGGTCAACTACACTGTAAATTCCCAGAACAGAACTTTGAAACAAAGTATTAGCGTGAAAATGCTGTCTATAGCATGGCCATACTTTACACACAATCATAATACAATCACCGGCAGGGTTGAAAGTCTTAACATGAACACTGGAACTAGTAGCTTCGAGTGCAGACTCAAAGAAGACAAATCTGTTCATACTCGAGGGTCAAATGATGTTTCTTTAAACGTGACATGTTATTCGAAGGAGGAGCCGCATATGATGATGATGATGTCCAGCATTAATAACGGAGATTCTGTAACTTTCACAATAGATCATAATAAAACCAAACCCGGCTTTTGTCAATGTTTCGCCTATCACAAGCTAGACCCTGGATGTTACAAGTCTGCAAACATTACCTTTTTAATTCCAATCGAAGGAGCCTCCAAAGGTCAGGAACCTGGAATGACATACCTTATATATTACATCGTGGCAGGAACAATAGGAGCTATTCTCTTTATTTTTACCTGCGGTGTATGCTTGTTTCTGAAACACAAATGGCACGAGCTTTACACCTACATATATTTCAGCGTTTCGGTGAGATCTGAGAGATCACTATCAGAGCGTGATTACGAACCTGTTCGTAGCCCCTCCAGCGGCTTTTCGTTTGATCGATCTGAGGGAACTCGTGAGTGTAATGGAGGTCTAGGTTACTATAACAACAGTCATGGCAGCTTTCGGGGACTGTTCACTGCACCAATGGTTCACGCAGGCTCTAAAGATACGGGTCTTTGCAAGTACAACACTGGCAATTCACGTTTACATGTCAATCCCGAGAGGGACATTTTGCAACGTAAAGTTCCTCTGCTACATCTTCTAGAGCATAAAGTGGGCGTTGCAGAGGAAACTTCAGTGACTGCGAGACTACTGCTTAACCTACCGCCTATATGTCGCCCTTTCCAACATACATCATCAATGACACAGTGTCACTTGGCTGATTACAACAACAGTCATACGTCAGACGAACCGTCTTGGTTCGACCATGATCACAAAACTCCGCCTCGCCCATGTATGGCATATACAAGGGACAGTGTTTGGCCCATCAATTCTCTCTATGAGTCTCCACGTTCAAGTCTACATTTAAACATCCCTAATGATCGTTATTTGCAGGCAAACACTTGCACGGAGACATCTGAATCAGAAGATTCATTTTACACGACCACAGTGTCACCGCTTGCAATTACTGACCCAGAAACGTACTTTGTACCTATTTCTAACCCAAGTGATAATAAAAGACCTCAGATTGTCAGCCAGCAAAGCCAGTTAATAAAACAGCAAACACAACGGCCACCAACCACTACGGGGTTAACGGTAGACAGTCAGTCTAGACGTAGACCAGAATACCCTACTGCGTGCACAGGGCCTGATTTCCATGCGCCCGGAGCTGTGCATCTAAATGATGAAACAGCATCAAAGCTTTCACCACGAGGTGCGTGGTCAATAGAGAATTCTACCTTAATATCCGAATATATTAACACAAGTATGGCGTGTTTTAAAAGCGAAAGCAAAGTGGAGCCCTTATCATCTATAGAAGATTCACCCGTAGATGCTGAATACATCAACACAAGTCTAATTTGTTATAGAAGGAAAAGCAAACTGGAGCCTTCATCAACTACAGATGATTCATCGTTAGTATTTGAATACATTAACACAAGTTCGATGTCTTATAATAGTGAAAGCAAACTGGAGCCCTCGTCAGATGTGGGGTCTGCACGTTGTCTAAGCGTCGTACCATCTTTGCTCTCACATGGAACACACACGTGTGAAAAAATAAAACAAATGAAAAATATACATGCACCCTTAAAGTCGAGGTCGCACTCCAGCCTATCAAACAAACATCAGACAGGAAACAACAGAATACGCAAGAATAGAAACACCAAATACAATAGACCCAACGGAAATAAAACGTGTGTCTACGAAAACATTCAGACAGTAGTCTCAGAGTGTTCTCGTCTTGAAAGTCAGTCACTAGACATGTAATACAACCATTCAGACCATTGTCTCGCGTGTCTACGAAAACATTCAGACAGTAGTCTCAGAGTGTTCCCGTCTTGAAACTCAATCACTAGACATTTAATACAACCATTCAGACCATAGTCTCAGTGTGCTGTCTTTTTGAAACTCAGTTACTAGTTTTTTAACTTCTTTAAACAGCCACCGTAAGCGACCTTTATGACAAGCAAGTACAAGCGGCTGTAACATTAAGTAAATGGTAAGTATTAAAGATAGACTTTAGAAAAACACGAAGACAGACAAGCACAATCATCGACATCATCAATTAGTTAATCCTAAAATCGCAGTTCCAACTTCACGTCAAACGGTTCACCTAACAAGTATTCAAATCCCGTGTCAGCAAAATCTATACAGAAAATCAGTTGAAGCAGACTGCAGTCTCTACGAAGCCACAGGCATACATTAATTGCATAACGCAGCAGTCAAAAGTGCCAACACAAACAGTCTCCCTGCAGCGTTGCACTTTATTTTTTGATAGAAGCAACAAATCAGTAGTTGCACAAAAAAATATATCTTAAGACAACCCTATTTGTTTGGCACCCTACATTCACCACTTTCTGAATCTGCACTTTAGGCACAGTCAAAAGACACTCCAAAGTGAAATTCGCAGCTCACAGTGTAGCGCCGCGCACTTCTCAGCAGCTGGACAAAGACATTGTATTCTTTTAATCACCATATCGGGAAAACGCAACACGTGACAATGACTAGAAACAAATAATTTGCAGACTAAAAAAAAAAAAAAAAGTCTGCCCTTATTTCAGAAAGCCACTCCGTCCATTTACCCAAACAAACGGTTTCAAATAAATCGCAACCGTGCAATGTTTCTACATTAATTAATACACAGTTCAACAGGCGACGTTACCACTGTTTCATTACCGCTTACTTTGATGTTTTTTTTTGTGTTTTTAACGTCTTATCGAAATGCCCCGAGTGCTGTGATGTCGGTTCTTGAATCAAATCAAATCAAATCAAATCAAATCAAATCATTTAAATCAGACAATTGATGTTCATTGTGTTCCATTACCTCACTCTGATGCGTTCGTTGACGTTACTTACCGCTTGTATGTTTTAATTATTAACGATGTTTTACCAAAGGGTTCTCCTACTCCTCATCGACTACATCTTATACTTTAATGTGTGTGTGTGTGTGCATAAACAGGTTCGGACAATGAAGTACCTTTACGATTATGAATATTACTTTATTATATATATATATAAATGTGTGTATATGTAATTTACAAACACCCATATTTTTGTATTATATTATATATATTATACTATGCGTAATGTCAACTTACAGTATGTGAGAATATTCGTTACCTCCTTCTTAGGACGTAATTTTTTGTTTTTTTGAAGCCCCACTCTGGCTTTTGCCAGGGGCCGCAATATAGACAGGCCATAAATATGGCAAATTGTCTGAACGCGGTTTCTGGGACCTCTCCACGGTGATCCTCGTCCGCATGGTGGCACTTGGTGTCATCGGGTGTTTATCGCTTGTGTGATGTCCTGGTGGGGTAGAAAGTTAGTCAATCAGTCAGCTTACAGTATTTTTTTTACTGAATGAATAACCAATCATCTCCCTGAGAGATGCAATTTATCGTGTTTTTTTAAGACCCCAACCTGGCTCTAACCAAGGGCCGCAATATAGCCCGACTATTAATATGGCCTAATGGTCTGATTGCAGTCTCCGGGACCTCTCCACGGGTGATCCTCATCCGCATGGTGGCACTTTATGTCATCGGGTGTTCATTGCTTGTGTGATGTCCTGGCGGGGTGATATTTTCTTACTTACTTTATTTTACTTGCACTTTAAATATAAAAATGCTTTGCTTGCCTTGTAACCTTTGCTGGCAGTATTTTTCTCAATGGTGAATACTCTATACAATCTTTCTTTGTCAGTTGCGACGAGAAATATAATTCTAAAAAGGTATCCCGATATACGGAAGTGAATCACGGTCAGTTGGTCGATTCGAGAAAAAAGAATTTGGAAGTTACAGAGATGTAGTCCAGACAGACTTTGCAAACACCTGGTGTCACCAACTGGAAAGAGAAGACCACCCAGAGAGATGAGTGGGGGCGGGTGATATCTGCAGCAATGAGCCTCAAGGGCTCGAAATGCTGAAGAAGAAGAGATGTATTTTATTCACGATGATGAGAATACCCTGGACAGATTTTTTTTTAAAAGTAATGAAGATGCATTGAAAGAAACTGACTCTCTAAGAGAACTGAATGCCCGCATCAGAAAGAGAAAATGTACATTTTGGTCATAACATGTCACTGGAGTATTTGACAATAGTGAAAAAGTTGGAGTGGACGAGAGGCAGAGGGAGACCAACAGAGAAGATACTGGACAGTCCGACATCAAAGTATTGAATCATCCGTGGAAAGAACACGAGACAGAAGGTTGTGGATAGATATCACAACCACCGCCACACGACATGGACTTTAGAAAAAAAGAAGTCGTTCCAATTATTTTGTCAGTAAATATATATTTAAAAAACCCAATTAGCGTTGTCTTTGTGATTAATCGAATTATGATGGCTGACGTGTAAGGATCACGAAGTGTTGACGGTAATAATGACAATAAATAGTTGCTTTTCCTTACAGGATGTTGCAGAAACAACCCCAGCATTTTAGTTTTTTTTTGGTTGTTTGTTTACTGTTGTGGGTTTTCTAGGCAAATATTACGTTCATTTGTTTGCCACTGCTTACTCAGCAGTCAGCTCTCGGTACCACTGTCAAGACCAACGCAAGACGTTTAAGATTTGAACAACGGATCATCATCATGGCACACGGGTAGTAACCCATAAGTGCTCCATTCTTCTTCTAACTTAAGTCTGAGTCTGAAGAAGCGCAGCACAATGCAAAGGTTCTGTAGCACCGGCGAGGATCCTAAAATACTTTCGTTACAGTTTTAACTTCTAATTTTGCCCGGGCAGCGCTGTTGGGCTACTCTTTTCGATTTTCAACTGTCAAGGGAATTTTTTTTTAAGTACGCAACAATGCACACGGGCGTCTGATCTCACTACCCAGATACCATGGAAGATTTACTATACCAAGACCAGGTGAAAAAATCCCAGCCCTTACCGAGGATTGAACCGGAACCTCTAGCACTCGAGGCGAACACCATGCCTCGAGACCACACAGCCGTCTCAACGCAAGAGGTTCTACTGCTAAATCGCCAGCACCTGGGATCGAACCCGGCACTCTGGCGTTACGAACCGCCTTCACAATGCCTAAGCAAACGAAAATGGCTCCAAGAAATAAGAGGACGCCAACAAGTGCGCATACAGTGATGACAATAGTGACATTAAAGACGACGCTGATGATAAAATGGCTCTGATTACGATGACGATGATGATGAGAATGATGATGATAATAAGAACGACCATAATGGTGCTAGAGGGAGCCGCCATGGTCTAGCGGCTAGACGCTTGCCTGCGGTACAGAAGATCTTGGGTTCGTGTCCTGACGTGGACCGGAATTTTTTTTTCAGAACTGACTTTGGCTCCCAGGTCCTCCCGCCTTGAGTGGGTACCAGGTGCAGTCCTGGGAAGTAAAGGCGCCCACATCACCAACCATGTGCCGTAAGGTATGTGAAATATAGGTCTGGCCCAATACACCCAGTAAGGCTGAGGGCATGTACAAGGGTCCTTCTCCTAACAGTGATAAAGGGGATACAGTTATAATGATACAATGATGCTCATGACAATGACATCAATAATAGTGGCAATGATAATACGCATGATGATATCATCGATCATGTCAATGACAATTACGATGATAATGATTATGATGATGATAAAAACTGTAGCGATAATGCTGATGACGTCGACCCATAGGACGTGACGGCGAAAATGCTCGCACTATAACGATGATGGTGATAACAACGATACATGATGATGTTTATGGCGATGATGATTATATTGATAATGATATCAATAATAGTGACGATGATAATGACGACTTTAATTATTATGACGATAATATTGATGATAGTGATGAGAAGACAATAACGACATCAAGGACAACTATGATGATGTTGAGCACGATGAAGATGGTGACGATTTTGACGACGGAGACTGAGATAGTGTAATAAAGGTTGATAGTACTGATAAAGAGCTGATGTACTAGCAGGTGCTGCATTAATTGAAGATGACCGTCCCATGGATCACGCAGACATTGTCATTGCCCTTGGAGAGATAGGACGTTCCGAGGATTTTGGAAGCAACGTGTCCACATCACTGCTAAGAATACGAGAACTAAGAGTAAAGATCGGCACAGTCAAGCATGAGAAGCACACCGGACGCACATGATATGTCTTGTTAACCAACATACTACTGACACTTTTAACCGCGCGACGCTGATTAATATGTTGAGAGGGGAATCTGAGCGCCTATGGATGTGTCCGGAGTGCTGTGAGGATAATCTAACTTATAACTCAGCTTAGTAATGATGAGTGCGATGAAGAAGATGATAAAGAGACAACGACAACAAAGACGATAATTTTCATGAGGATAATAATGATTATACTGATAATGAATATGGTGACTACCATAGCTATGAGTATTATAACTTTTGGGAAATTCATGATGAAGACGATAACTGATGATGATCCCAATTAGACACCGCCGTCCGAGAAAACAGTGAAGCAAAGCACGGAGTCCAAACAAGCAGCATTCATCTCTGATCTGACAAGATTGCAATGCCATGCGATCAGCAGACGACACATAACCCGTAACTTTCTTGAACCAGTGAGAGGTGCATGGTTACGTATGCATCGCAGAGCAAAAAAAAGCGAACATTGCATTTTGCCCTAAACTATGGAAACAAATGTTTTAAAGACAGCTGCACTGATGAGACAAGTTGCTGGGGGATCAATGTTCATCTTGCACACCACAATGACAGTTTTTTTTATAAATTAAAACTGATGTGGGAACGACTGAAGATGAAGCTAGGTCAGGACG